GTGGTTTTAAGCCACTACTTTTTGGGGTGGTTTGTTGTACAATAAAAGCTAATTCATTCATTCTTTAGATGATTTTTAAAGCATATTCATAACTCTCTGGTTGTTTCCAATCATGCTTTTGTCTAAGTTTTCATCCACTCCTTGATCCTTTTGGAATGTAAACACAAGAAAAAATTTCTCTCCAAACAAGCTCTTATATTTTCTATTACTACAAAAGGAAAAATACAAAATCCAGTGTGTGTGTGTGTGTGTGTGTGTTGCTAGGAAGTTTGGATTTGTCAATTATGACATTCATGAGTAATGCCATCCAGAGCCATTTTAGTGGAGTGGTTAGAGTGGAAGCGAGACTGAGATAGTGAATGCAGTGTTCAGTTTCAGGAAGTATCCTGATACAATTTTCAAGTTCCTGATAAAATTATCTTCACCTTCTACCTGGTTTCTAACTTCCTTTTTATCTTTATGTTAATTACTAGAGGCCCGATGCACAAAATTCGTGCACTGGGGGTGAAGGGAGTTCCTCAGCCCGGTCTGTGCCCTCTCACAGTCCAGGAGCCCTCGGGGGATGTCCAACTGACGGCGTAGGCCCACTCCCCACAGCAGTCAGACATCCTTAGCACTGCTGCGGAGGCAGGAGAGGCTCCCGCCACCACCGCTGCTCCACTTGCCAGCCATGAGCTTCTGGCTGAGCAGGACTCCCCCTGTGGGAGCACACTGACCACCAGAGGGAAGCTCCTGCACTAAACATCTGTCCCCTGGTGGTCAGTGCGCATCATAGCAACTGGTCATTCTGCTATTAGGTCGATTTGCATATTATCCTTTTATTATATAGGATACTATACTAGAGGCCCGATGCACAGATTCGTGCACCAATGGGGTCCCTCAGTCTGGCCTGTGGGGATCAAGCTGAAATCGGCTCTCCGACATTTCCTGAGGGGTCCTGGTGCACAATTGGGGTCCATCTCAGCCAGTCCTGATCAGCCCGACCCCAGCAGCAAGCTAACCAACTGGTCAAAGCGTCTACCCCCGGTGGTCAGTGTGCATCATAGCGACTGATCGAACAGTTGAACAGTTGGAGGGACAATTAGCATATTAGGCTTTTATATATATAGATTGTATACATACATCTATGGTAGCCACTTAGAATCCTTTTTTTTTAATTTTTTTTAAAATATATTTTATTGATTGTTTACAGAGAGGAAGGGAGAGAGATAGAGAGTCAGAAACATCGATGAGAGAAACATCAATCAGGTGTCTCCTGCACATCTCCTACTGGGGATGTGCCCACAACCCAGGTACATGCTCTTGACCGGAATCGAACCTGAGACCCCTCAGTCCGCAGGCCAACGCTCTATCCACTGAGCCAAACCGGTTTCGGCTAGAATCCTTTTTGAAAATAGACATAGTTAAAATTATGAATAGTCTCCTACTTAAAATCAAGCTTTTAGCCCTCAGCATGCCTTCATTCTTATCACAGACATTTGTCTCTCCAGGAATGTGACCAACAAAGCTCTCCTTCAGGGTCTTTCTCTGACACACAGCCAAATGGCAGCCAAGAGAAGGAACAGCTGGAATGAGTGCATCTGGGATAGTTTGGAGTAGAAGCTAGCTGACCTAGAGAGTTATGTTCATAACTTGGATTAACCTCTCCCTAGAGTAATTAAGGAATGGGCATTGGAGTCTGGAAGCCTTCATTCACATGCTTGCTCTGACATTTACCAACTCACTTCACTTAATTTCCCTATTTTAAGAGGATGGTTATAGTACATGCATGTGGCACAGAGTAAACACTCAAAAAATGTTAGCTTTTTACTAGTTACCCTGTTATATTCTTCTTCCCATGACCCCCATACCATGCTGGACTTCTAGCTCCCAAACTCTCTGGCTTCTACCACTGAGATATGGAGCACTTGGTGTCCTGCTCCGGATGTTCCTTCTGCACTGTTGATAGAACCTTGGGCTGCCTAATGGGCCATGTCATCCACATGATGAGGGACTCCATCCCATGGCAGTGATGGAGTATCTGTGTGTCACTGCTGTGAATGGCCATGACAGGAGATGCCAAGATGCCTGGAGCCTTGTGAAGAAAGGTGAATAGGGAGGGCTTTGAGAGACACCCCCTTTTTTGTGTAAGTGGACATGATGTTGGAACTTCTCAGAGGCTGGGCAGGGATTGACATCTAAATCCTAGACAAGGAGTTAGAGCTGGGCAACAGGTAACAGCTAACCAGGTAGATCAGAAAAATAGTATGTATTTATTTCATAGCATTTATAGACAAAATACTGAGCTCTATAGCATTCAAAGAAATATCTTGCATAGTTTCTGCTCTCAAGGGGAACCATGGGGAGAGGACATTTCCAGAAAAAAATGACCAACACCAGGCTAAGTGAATAATATGGAGACTGCATTACAAGAGTTTAAAGTAGGGTTGGGAACATCAGGGAGGGTTTCTGTAGGTGACCTTGTGAAGGAAAACCCCTATTCTGTAAAACTACTGTTTGGAATTCTCTGCTATTCTTTGGACGGCCTCTTATTCTGAAAAAGTAACTTTGCTTTGTAGCCTGCTTGAATAGTGGGGGAGATAAACTTAGCTATCTGACCTTGTAGGCCAGAGACTAGATACACCCAATGCCATGCCAGGTGCATTTTTTAATTGGATAGAACTGTATAGTTTTCAAGGCTACCGCCAGCAATCACACAAAGGGCTGGCTCTTCTATAAAAAGGGAAGTTCTGCTTGTAGCTGTGCTTAGATTTGGATTCATTTCCCTGAGCCCGCCGCGGTGAATAAAGTGTAACTCCAAACTCTCAGAGCGTTGTTTGGTTCTGGTCCGGTTTTTTCTGTAACAACCTGAATTGAGCCTGGAAAGTAGAGAAGAGAGGGAAGACAACAGGGAAAGAACAAAATCAAAAGCCTGCAGGAGAAAAAGGGGATGTGGACTTGTCTGGAAGGAAGCAGGCAGTGTAGCCAAACTGGACAAACTTTGACTTGAAAAGGACCAGAAGAGAAAGTTTGGATTGTCCTGCAGGTGATGTGGAGCAATTGAATATTTATGAGCAGAGGAACCTAATCATATAGGTCAAGTGTTCCTGAGAGTTTTCACAAAAAGGAAGCTGTAGAGAAACTTCTAAGCGTACACTCTGGGCCCAACTTCCTAATATCTTAAGCACTGCTTTCCCTCTGTTAACCCTCTCTCCACACTATCCTCACTGCCTGTAATGGCTCATTTCACCCGTGTCTGTATCCATTCAGAACTCCTCTTGCTGCAAGCAACTGAAAACAAAGAAGCTTAGGCAGGGAAAGGAGTTGATTAGTCAGCCCAGGTGACTGATGAGTTCGAGGCAGAGGCTCTGACTTTCAGCACTCAAACTTGTCATCAGGTCTGTTTCTCTTAACTGCTCACTTCTGGCCCTACTGATTAGCTTCCTTTTTAGTGTCCATTTGGTGGCCCCAGCAGCAGTGGGCTGTCTGGACAAATGACAAGATGATGCATCCTCCTATGTCAGTCTTGTAGAAAAAAACTAGATTTTTCCACTAGCTCTAGCGAAAACCTTAATATTACCAAGACTGGACTTGTTTAGGTGACCTGTCCATCCTGAAGACAATCAGTGTGGCCAAAGTGATGTGTTGCCCTGAATGGCCAGGCCTGAGTAATGAGCAGAATACCTATGTTCTGGAAAGTGAGGGCAGGAATTTGTTTGTCCAAGGTAGGAGTGCATAGCTCTAAATAACCCGACTTCCCCACAGTCCTGCAACCAGAGGATCTACCTACATGCCACATGTTAGACAGGGTCCCTGATGGCTATGGAGACCACCCAGAGCATAGTGCTGCATTAGAAGGCCTACAGCGGTCCCTGCACACCCTTTACACACCAGTGGCTTCTCTGCACTCCATGGTCCGGCACCTGGCCAGGACCCCCACACCGTGGTAGTGCTGGGGTCTACTTTACCACCTTTCCTGGGGCCATCTTTATCTGATGCCTGACAGGATCTGGGCCGCTGTGGTTGCACTCTTGTGGTCATCAAGCTGGTCAACACCCTACAAGTCCATGTATGGCTGTGACTGGTTCACTCTCCAGGTGAACTAGCTTCTCTGAGCTGTCTTTGCTGACCTCTGCGTGGCCTTTGTAGACACCTGGGAAATGACCTCCAGTTTGGCACTGCCTGATCACATCCACCCAGGGAGGCTCATCATCCACAAGGTGGACTTCCTCCTCTCCATCTGCCACACCTGTGGATAGGGGACTGGGACAGTTGTGAAGAGGACCACAGCCCTAATAGGACTTCTGGGATATGGGCCAGGTGCCATCAACTTCTCTCGCCTGGAAGACTGCAAAAGCTTCCCAACCACAGCCCATTCAATCCTTGCTCCACTCTAACCCCTTTTCCATTCAGAACAAGAGTGTTTGTTTTAAAACATAAATGAGCCCAGGTCATTGGCCTGCTCAAAAGCCAAGGCTTCAATCTCAGTAACTCTGCAGTTTCATTTATCGCCAGTCTTCCAACTCCATGGATTCCTGCTGCTCAAGCAGATCAAGGGGTCCAGCTTTCTCCTCATTCTGTTCTCTGATCAAACATCATCTCCTCAGAGGCTTTCCCTGACTACCCACCCCTCAGAACCATATCCCCTTCTCAGCCTGATTTTTTCTCCTATCACTAACCACAACCTGTAGTTATTTGATTTAGTACTATTATTGTTGTTTGCTTGTCTGTTTCAATAGAATGTAATATCCATGAGGGACAGGGAGTTTGCCTGACGCGTTCACAGTTGTATCCTGGTGCTTGAGACATAGCAGGAGTTAAATAACTATTCATTGAATAAATTCATGAATAAGTCAGATGACTGTGGTGTTACTTCCATGCCCTGCACCTTCTCTCAGCAACCTGCTACCTCTTGAGAAATAAGCAACTAGCCAAAAGGTGTCCCGTTTGCTGTTGATTACATTTGCGTAACTGTCACTGTTAATACCTCATCTCCTTACATTTACATTAAGGCACTATGATTTTCAATGTAGTTTCCAATTTTTATTTACATTAAGGCACTATGATTTTCAACGTAGTTTCCAATTTTTATTTGGGACAACTCTCCCAATCGTCTCCCATTTTGTTAATGAAACCCTCAGAGGTGGCACACAGCTGGTCCGTCCTTGGTCCGAGTTTGGCTGCTAAAATGGTGATATTGGTGACAGCGGTGGCAGAAGCGCTCTGTCCTCGCTGGGAGTGACCACCTGGCCCCTCCGGCTCTGGCTGGCTGGTCCTCTCCCAACCTAGACTTCAGTTCCCAGGCCGGGGGCTGGGGCGGGAGGGCTGCCCTCACAGGCGTCCGGCGTCTCCTGGGGCTCCTCGTCTCCTGGGGCGTCCGGCGTCTCCTGGGGCTCCTCGTCTCCTGGGGCGTCCGGCGTCTCCTGGGGCTCCTCGTCTCTGGCCTCGGGGCCCTCTGCCTCTGGATTCCAGGCCTCCCTGACCACCAGGAAGGGGGCTCCGTGGCCAGGCACGACCACGTCGGCTGTGCCCAGGACCCTCTTCCGGCTCCGCTCCTGAGCCACCGGGTCTTCGCTCAGGGCCTGCCAGAAGCCCTCGTCCCCATCGCGTTCGAACACGTCGCCCACCACGGCCACGGTGCCCAGGGCCGTGCCCGCCACCACCACGCTCACGTCCCGCTGGCCCCCGTGGCCCGGCGTGGCCCACACCTCGAGCCCCGGCCCCAGCCGCAGGGGCCGCTCCTCCCCGAGCTCGTGGGGAAGGAAGCAGCCCCCGGGGAGGCAGAAGTCGTGCGAGACTAACAGAGCGGCCCTTGGGAACAGCCCCAGGTTCCCGATGTGATCCGAGTGTCCGTGGGTTCCCACCACCAGAGTCACGTCTACGGGGGCCACGCCCTGCCCCGCCAGGGCCTCCAGGAGCCTCTCCCGAGCCCAGGGGCCCCCGGTGTCCACGAGGATGGGACCCCGGGCTGCCTCCTCCAGGGCGGTCTTCGCCTCGCCGCCCTCGGACGGAGGCTCTCGGTGGCGGGAGGCGCGGGGCAGGATGAGGGTCACAGAGCCGTCGGCGCGCACGGCGCCGCCCGCCCCCTCGGGCTCCGCGTAGCCCCGAAGTAGAACCACCACGGAGAAGGGGTCGCCAGGCAGCCGCACGGGGGGCTCCCCGCGCAGCGGCTCGGTCCGCACCACACGGCTCATGACCGGAGAAAGCGGGGCTGTGGGCCAACGTCCGGGCCCTCCGGGTTCCCACACTCGCCGGAGCCTCCGCTAAGTGGCACCTCCAAGCCTCAGTCCTTCCGCCCCCTCACTCTTAAAGTGGTATCGCCTCAGCCCCCTTCCGAGGATGGTCTCGCCCAACCTTTTCTTCCACGTGAAGCAGCGCGTCTTTCAGTGTCTTCGGGGCCCCCGCCTAGTCACTCTGTCGTGGTAGGTCCACACTCGTCACCCTCCCAAGGAGGTCCTTTTTAGTTCCCTCTCTATAACCTACGCCGCTCTCTGCCTTGGACCCAGTTTTACGCCTCTAAGGTTCTAAGGGAAGAATGGAAAGCGGAAAAACGCGAAGGATTTTGTCCGCTGCGACCTCCCATAAGCCCAAATATGGCGGCCGAGACAGCACCGCCCGCGGCATTCTAACGCGGCCGCGTTCTCCGGCGTGCGCGGACCCGGACCCCGGCCCAAACGCCGTCCTCGGCCTGGGATCCCTGCCACCTGCCTTGGGCTGCAGCATTACCGAGCACCATTAGCTTCTAACGGGACGGCAGCCAGCAGCCCTGTTCTCTGGGCGGGGCGCTGCCACATCAGCCAGCTAGGATGTGTGCACAGGAGTTGCGAAATGTTGGTTGCAGCCGATACTTTTAAAAAAAGAAAGCTTCCTAGCGATATAGAAAATTTGGCACCTGTGAAATTATGTGGCGGGCCATCGGTGGAATTAATATAAAGCAGACTAAGTGCCTACTCCGCCTAACTTATCAGCATCGCCCCATCCCCATCCAGCGCCCCCTCCGCGGTCACAGTCAGTTGGCACGTAGCCTTCGGCGGTGTATGTAAGTCGCAGAGAATGCCCTCTGGCTTCATCCTTGTAAGGGTCTAAACAAGGCCAAGTGACGTCCCCAAGGCCCCCAACTCCTATGCCACTGCTGACCTCTGGGTGGGGGTTGAAGTAGAGATAATTAAAGGGGAAAGCCTTCAATGTGGTCTCCACACCTACAGCTGAGGGAGCTAGATGGCAGACAGAGGGCTCATCCGTTGGGGTAGGGCTTCCACCTTCTGCTCACACCTTTCTCCCCACAGCTATGCCATGCTGTACCATCAGGATTCTGCCGGAGACCAGGTGGGAGAGAACAACTACAAGCTTAGGGGGTGAGACACACACACACACACACACACACACACACACACACACACCGTTAAAGCTGTGGGGCAGAGGGAGCTCAGGCTTCAGAGCCTCTCCATGACCCCTGCCCTCCCTGGGGACTCAAAAACAAGGGTCAGAGGTCCTCTGGGTCATGTGTGGGGTGGCCTGGTGTGCTAGTCATCTCTTCTTCGTTTTCCTTCTCCTCCTGATCTTGCTCCTCCTCCCCTTCTGTCTTCTCTTGCCCTTCTGTGATCTCCTTTCCAGTCCAAGTTTCCTGTAGACATGCTAAGTTGGGTGATAGAAAACAAGTTAGATGTTGGTCCTGGGGGTAGGGGATGTTGTGGCCTGGCAGGGAAGGGACCAGCCCACGCACTTACCAGTTTCAGAAGCTGGGAGCACATGACCTTCACAGAGAAAACGCTGCAGGGGCTGCTCCTGATGGTGGAAGTACCAGTCTTCCACGACTTCTTCAAACTCCTCCAGCATTTTCTCACACTGGTCAAGTGGAAGGGTCAGAAGAGTACCTGCTCTGCTGGGCTTTGGGAACCTTCCTCTTTGCTCTTTACTACCTGTCTCCCCACCCCACCTTGGAGAGGCAGATAGCCAGGAGTTTAAACGTGGCTTACTAGCTGTGTGATCCCCATTCATTCAACAAACATTTACTAACACCTCCTCTACTGAGTAGGTTATTAAACTCTTAAGTTTCGGTTCCTTGTCTGTAAGATGGGAAATGGTAATCAGGTGGTTGTGAGGGCAAAATGAGGCAGCAGCTGAAGCGTATATGGCTCCAAACTTGCACAAAGTTGGTACTCAGTAAGTGGTAATGCATATTATTAGTCTCCATTATTACTTCTTGATATGCTCCGGGTGCATGTCAATCAATGACAGTCCTCACTCTGCCCCCTTCTCCCTGCTCAGAGGTAGACCTCCCTAGGACCTAGTTCCCCTTTCAGGTTCCCTTCTCACCTCCCTGGGCGGTATCCTAACCTACCTGCTTCTTGAGGAATGTGACCTCCACACTGGGCTCGTCCCACAGCTCCAGAGGGATCCCCAGATCCACCTTTACCCCCTTCTGCACCAGGCCTTTCAGCGTTGCCATGGTCTGACTCTGCCCCTGTGAGATGGGAATTTGGGATCAGCCCAGCCCACTACCTCAGCTTCTTCCTTTCCCTTCCCACCATATCAGTTTTGTCAAGCACCAGAGTCTGAAGGGTAAGTTCCATGAGGGTGAGATGTGGGAGTCTAAAGATGAGGAGGGGACACTGAAAGGCTAGAGAAGGGAGGCTCCAGAGGATATAGGCCTGAGCAGTGGGATCCTGCCCCAGGAGGAGTCTGACCTTGGCATATCTCAGTGAGCCCTTGCGCTCGGCATGAACACTGTAATCCAGAACTTGCTCACATAAATTCTCCAAGGCCTCTTCTAGCCTTGTCTCTCTGTGGGAAGAGGGGAAACAAAGATTCCTTGAATACTGTATGAGCTCCCAGAGCTCTTTCGGGGGTTGAAAGGTGGAGGAGCATCAAGGACTCACGAAACGCTGTAAGGGATGTGTCTTTTCCTCTTGCCCGTGTCCAGCACCTGCCCCAGCTCCAGCACCTCTCGAGATCGTCCAGTGCGACTCAGCTGTTCCTGTAGCTCCAGACTCAGCAGCTTACACACTAGATGTCCAAAGGGACATGAGAGATAAACAAACATGCCAGCAACTCATTCTGCAGATGAGCAAAAGCAGCAGAGCATGATGGTTTCAAATGCAGACTCTGGAGCCAGCCTGATTTACAATCCTGACTCAGCCACTGAGTAAGCTGTGTAGCAATCTGCTGTGCCTTGGTTTCTTCACCTCTAAAATGGAGATAATAATAGTACCTCCTCATAGGGGTGTGGTGAGGATTAAATCAATCCATGTAAAGCCTTTACAATAGTGCCAGCACGAAGTGAGCAGTGTATACGTCTTTGCTGTTGTTAGGCAGTCATTTATTGGGCTCCTTCTGGATGCACAATAGCAATAGAGAGCAATTAAGACCCACCATCCCTATCCATGAAACACTGCCAATGCAGTCGGGGATAGAAAAAAAGATGGCAAGATGGTGTGATGGTTCCAACCCTAGGTATTAAGACCCTAGCTGGCTTGGCTCAGTGGATAGAGCATCAGCCCACGGACTGAAGGGTCCCAGGTTCGATTCCAGTCAAGGGAACATGCCCAGGTTGTGGGCTTGATTGGGCTGGGGCGCCGAAGGAGGAGGTGTGCAGGAGGGGGTGTGCAGGAGGCAGCTGATCAATGATTCTCTCTCATCACTGATGTTTCTTTCTCCCTTTCCCTCTCTAAAATCAATAAAAATATTTTTTTTTAAAAAAAAAAAAGACCAAGAGACTTAATCTCATTAGGAAATGCAAAATTCATTCAATGGTTACATATTGACTTCCTTCTAGCCTGGGATTTCCTTAAGGGTGAGCATTGTATCTATTCCACCACTGTCTTTCCAGCACCTAGCATGTGACTTGGCACATTATGGGTCCCAAGAAAGGGAGTGGCCTATACAGAAGTGCCAAGTGAACTAAACACAGGAGCAAGTAACAAAAGTGCCTAAAATATGCCAGGTACTACTCTAAGATCTGGGAGACACAGGTACTCTCTTTCCCTCCAAGGGTACAATGCAGTGAGAGGAGACAGATATGAAAAGAAGGCTTCCAAAGGAGGTGACATTTAAATTGGATCTTGGAGAACAACCTGCAGAAGTGAGAGGGTTATTCCAGGCAAAGGGAGAAGCAGAGGTGGGAAAAGATAAGGCAGGCTCACTAGCTGCTGAGTACAGTGTGGCTTCAGCATGGGCATTTTGGGGGTGGGAGTTTGTGGAAAAGAAAGAAAGGGGGGGCATAAAACAAAGAAATGTGTGTTCTGCCCTAACAACAATCTTGGCTGTACTCTAATCGCTGCAGGAAGCCTGCCCAGGTGTTAAAGCAAGGACTGACAAGATTGGGTCTGTGTTTAGAAATTCTGACAGAGGAGTAGGGGCACAAGTGAAAGGGGAGTAGAGATTAGGTCCAAGTGTTGAGGAACAGCGATACTGAAATGCAGGTTAAAAGAATAAGAATCCAGGAAAGAAATTAGAGTCAGGAAGGCAACAAACTAGGGAACCAGAGCACGCAATGGCCCAGTTCTGAAATGCCTTCTCCCTATTATTGCTCTCTATTGCTATTGTGCATCCAGAAGGAGCCCAATAAATAACTGCCTAACACCAGCTGGGACCCACAAATAGTGCAACCACAGAAGATACTGCTTGCTGTAAAATCCATACAGCACACACACACCCTTTGGAAAGCCTCACACCTATGGGGAACCTCTGTGTGGCCTCCTCTTTCATTTATGAGCGTCAAGGGCTGATTTACTCATCCCCAAGCCCCTTCAGGAGAACGCGGGACCTGTAATTTGGGAGTGTCTCTGCCGAGGTGGAGCAGAGGATATCCACAAGGTAAGCCTAACATCCCGCTCCTGCAGGACCTCCAGAATGAGGTCTAGTGGCTTGGGAAAAACACACAGAAGACGCTCAGTAGCGTGGTGGTCCTGGGCGGATAGTCTCTGAACTACAATTCCCACAAACCATTGGGGCCCAAACCAGCCAGAAAAAGCGTGCTCTCTCTGGATGTCTCATGGGAATTGTAGTGCCGTAGATTTTGGAACCCACTATAGGTTCCCTCCCTTGATCCCATTCGACTTCCGCGAAACTCCACCAAAACCTCCCTCAGGTCTTTAAGGAGGTTGAGCGACCCACCCATCACGGTCCATTTGGTCCGGCCCAAACAAAGGAGGTGGGGCAGAGGGATGCCAAAAGGGGCTATTCCTTTCAGATACCTTCGCATTTGCTGGGCAAGCGTTCTGTGTCATCGTCCTCCTCCTTCGGCGCCCCAGCCCAAGCTGGGACGCATGCAGTCAAAATGAAAAGCAATATTCCCAACGGCACAGGTCCCATGACAAAGTGCTGTCCACAACTTAAAACCCCTTGCCTTCTAACCAACTTCGGGAAGGCAGCGGGCCCTTTTAATTCCGAGGCAACTTTAAGAGTCGAGCCTAGCACTGAGGCGCACGCGCAGTGCCGACCCGAAAGGGGGCGGGGCCCCGTCGCTCCGGCTTTCCCCGCCTGGGATTTGTGGCGCCTCCGGAAGGTCCTGGCCGCCGGGTAGTGAGGGGATACGCAGAAGTCATCACCACAGAAGTGTTTGCTCCTGCCATGTAGCTGTAGACACAGAGTTTTTACATAATTTCAGGCCGTGAGTCTAGAGAACTTATTCCTGCTCAGAGAAGGGGTAGGGACTGGCTCCTTTTCTCTGCCAGGACCGGCTCCTGGGAGGGGGCGGGGCCAACATGGCGCCGAGCGCCGGCTGAGCGGCGCTTTGGCGGCGGTGAGAGCTCTTCGTTCCTGGGGCGCTCGGCTGGCGGGAGGGGGTCGAGGGGTACCCCGGCCTAGACCCCTTGTCGGGCCTGTGCGGGGACCAGGAAGAGGACGGTTGGTGGCGTGTCCGTGCGCGTGGGGACTCTATGTGTTTGCATTGGAGGGATGATGGGGGATG